TTAAAGAAGGTTCTACAGAATGTTGTACGTAGGATGGAACAGCAGAATCATCACTACTTTCTTCCTCACTCTCACTACTTGTATTGTTTTCTGTTTCTGATATGCACTCATCACTCTCTGACACGTTCGCGAGCTCGAGAAGGTCAACTTCGGTTAGCGTTCTTCAATGCGACATTATCAACATGCAAACATAGAATAAAATTTAAAATGTAAATGAATGTACTTGGCATATCAGTGTTCTACCAGCCTACCACTTGTCTATCACCCCCACTTCAATCTACATGACATGCCCTTCTAAATGACATCGTCCAGCTACACCAGAAAGTTGATTTTTTATCTCGTATGCAATTAAAAGACCTTATATTAGGTAATAAATTCACGAAACACCAAAACGTAAAGCCGCGTAATAATTTGCAAAATAAGAAACAATTTTTTTTTGAGTCAAATAGACCCGAACAGGACAGCAGAGTTAATAAAAAATAAAAAAAATCTTACATTGAGTGGTGACTATAGAATTGCCATTGCCAGATTCTAATCTTCAAAACCTATAACCTAAAATTTCGATTTTAAGTTTTGGTAATAAATATAGGGTATTTTAGATATGGCTCAAAAAAGTTGAATTTAAACTCACATTTTAAACCAACTCACGTCAGGGAAAATGCTTCTACGAAAACGGTATTACATTGAATTTGTAGCTGCAGTTATGTAATTTTGAAAAACATGGCTATGAAATCAAAAAGAAGTAGTTTTAAATATTTAATGTCGTTTGTAATATGCAAGTTTAAATTTGAGCGTTTTTAGGCGTTTTTCTATCGCCAAAACTCTAAATCTAAATTTCATGATAAAGTTTATGAAGATTATGCCTTAGCAATACAAATTCCATAGTAAATGGTCCATAGTGAACTATCATTATTATTTCAACCGAAGCACCATTTAATTATCAATGTATAAATAAAAGAGTTACATTGTCGAACTAAACAATAACATGAAGAAAAATACTATAAAAAAGTAAAATATGTCAAAAACTCATTGTGGGTAGGTAGCTTATCTATATTTATCAATTTTCAATGGCTTGTATTGTAACCGCATTCTTTGGGAAATAAAGATCATTATAAAGCCATTAGGAGAAGTGAATCAGTTTTAATCTCCATTGTCCACCCAAAGCAAACATGTCTTTTTGTCGATTTGGGTACTGGCCAGTAGACCAAACACTTGTTTGAAAAAACTATAAAAGCTCAGTTCTATTTCATTTTCGCAAGCGAATGAAAGTACCTACATAGAGCTGTTGCCAGTATCTGTCGTTATTTTCAAACAGGGTACGACTCTTAATGTGCAAGTAAAACGTGTCCTGTTAAATGTATTGAACTATCATCTGAACTTAAAAAATGATGACAGCTTGACTATTACTATGTTCTATACTATAAATATAACTATAAATGTTCGCAAAATTTATGACATGCGCGAAGAGGCCCAGCAAAGCGAACTAAAACCGGTACAAAAAAACAAAGAAAAACAGTTTCGAGTCCAATTCATGTTATAATACTCACGATGAGGGAGTGAAATCTTATAGAAGGAAAATTGTCCATATTTATAACTCTTTGAATTAAGATTTTTATAAAATCCATGGTACATTGTGAGTATTTTGCCGGTATTACACAGCGTCCTCTGCATTTTCGATTTAATTTTATGTCACAACCTCTAAAACCATCATCGAATTCGTATTTAAACATTATAGAATTTTGGTGTTCATGCGAAAATTTTATTTCTCGTATTTTGCTAACTTTTATTGATTTCTTTTCGTTGTCAAGTTTCCAATTCTCGGTATCAGTCAGTTTTTTAAAATTAAAAAATTATCTTGGGACATTTCCGTAACATCATAAACTCTTCCTGTAGTTTTAGCCATTCCAATTAATGTAACCCACTGTTCTGGCACATATACAACCGATTGCCTTTTCTTTTCATTTTCGATAACAGCATGCATACTGTCACCCTCGTTCTGAGTGTGGTTTTTTTCCAGAAATCTGTGAACAATATCAATATGAAAATGAGCAGCAGCAAAAGCAAACATCGAAAACACAAAACGATTCCTATTTTGTCCCCCACAGTGGTCTAAGTAGAATATTATCGTTTTAACACTTTGTTGTGCCATGAGATCTAAAAATTTCCAAAGGCAACTGGCAATTTCATTAGTACCTCTTTTAGCCACCTGCTCGTGCCATACATAGCAGTAACCCTGATTATTTCTAACATCATAAACTGTAAAGTTATATGTAGAGTATTTGCTTTTGTAGTAAAAATCACTTACGTAAGACAAAGGGGTAGCTAAAACCTTTTGAAGGTCAAAGCAAGCCACACACAAGCTCTTATCATCTAGTGCAAGCTGTTTGTCTATGTCTTTTAAGTTTCTGATAACTTCTTTGTTTTTCATATGGGACTCATATTGTTCGAGCAATTTTGCTTTTTCAGCATCACTAGCCATATTAAAAACAGAACAAGCAGTACACTGGTCCTTTTTTGGTTTAAAGAACCCAATATTGAACTGTTCATTGAAAATATCTCTATACTGGCGTGACGTGGCAGCTGTAGTGATGTTATTTTTTTCGCAATGCTCGTTGTACAATCGGTACATTTTCTGGATAGTTAGCCCTTCTTCAAGGTACATCTTCATCGTATTCTTACGGGTATAATGGGAAGGTACTACAGGACCAAAATCATGGTTATTGATCGCCAACAACAGTTTCCTGAAACCCAAACTATTGCGGGATGCGAGGTAGTCTCATCTATGATATATCTTGGAGCTCTAGTTAACAACACAGGCAGTTGTGAATCCGAAATTAGAAGACGCATTCAACTAGCAAGAGCAGCAATGAGTGAACTAAACGGGGTCTGGCGTGATCGTCACATTACTATGACAAACAAAAAGAGACTCGTTTCAACTCTGGTCTTTTCCATATTTTACTATGCATGCGAGACATGGACAGTCAAAGAATCAGATCGACGACGTATAGACGCCTTTGAAATGTGGACATGGAGACGCCTGCTTCGAATTCCATGGACGGCTCGCCGTACAAATATCTCGGTTCTGGATGAAATTAAACCGGATCAACGTCTCTCCAGTACCGTTTACTCTAGAATTTTTAAGTTCTTTGGCCATATCCATCGAAGTGATCACAAAATGGAGCGGTTGGTGGTCCAAGGAGGGCCTCAGACTCAACGCCAACGCGGAAGATCTCCACAGCGATGGGCGGACATTACTAAAAAGCTTCTCAATAAACAGTATACTGAGGCAATACATATAACTGATGACCGCGACCAGTGGAGAAATATTATCAATCAAACTGTCTGAGCTGCTGAAGCCCAATTATGAACCACAACACATCTACTAAGATGTTAATGACTGTGATGATGATGACTACAGGAAACTGATTTATGTGATTTTTTACGTTGTCTATAAGTTCTGGTGATAGTTTATGTGGTCTGTTAGTGTGCTTTCCACGTTTATCTTCCTCTAATGATCCACCATCTTTCAGTTTCCTTAATGCTGTAGTGATACAAGTTTCTGAAACGTTAAGGGTTTCCAAAAACATAGTTTTGCAAACACGTTGTTTTTCATTGCGAATGTAGAAGTAATATTCTCGAGAGTAATTTCTTCGAGACCGTTGTTCTGCAGTAATAGTTACTTGTTTTTTGACAACCTGTCTCACATGACGAGCAATAAAATCCCACTTTCTCGTATGATCTTTTAACTTCCAAAATTCATTGAAAAAAAGGTCTCTATCTTCTTTAGCTAATTTGGTAGCACATTTTAGTCTACATGTGTTTGCGCATGGTGCACCCATCTGTCTTCCTTTAATTTGAATACCTTTTCGATTTTCATGTTCAAGTCCCAGGTTTAGACTTGTTTTAGATTTTGCATCCGCCCACTTACTAACGTCTCTAATTCTTTTCCTACTTACTCTTTCTATATTGCCTCTGCTTCTTCTCTTTCTATTTGTGGTTGCTTCAGTTATATTCTTATTAGGTTCAATTATTACTTCAGGGATGTTTTTGTCTTTTGTCGGAATGTAAGCTGGGTCAGTATCAGAGTCTGCATGAAATGGTTCCTCATCGCTTTCCTTCTCAATTATTTCATTTTCGTTTCTATTGGCTTCATTCTCTTCTAAGCTTACTAAAATTAAACAAAAATGAGGTAAATGCCTACGTAATATTTTTTCATGTGGAATTTAAACCAACCTGTAGAACATTCAGGATTAATATCAGTCTCGTGGTCACCAGGATCCTCATTCGCCTTTTTGAATTTGGTTTCTTCTACAATACTTTCAGCAATATATTTACCTTAAAAAATAAGTAGGTTTTTACTTTGCTGTTATTATTTTAAATAAAGTTTATTATAAATTTACCTTCAAAAGAACGATAAGAAATATCCGTTTCAGTGTTTTTATACGCTTTCTCAGCTAATTCCAATATTAACTCACTTCTGGAACACATTATGGCAATTATAACAAAACTAAACTTTTGAACATAACCTTAAACTAACGCAGAATACCGTAGTAACTCATGTTACGATACCTATGCTATCTCCTCAGATAACAACGAAGATTATTGTAACTCAAGATACGATGATTTTCTACCGTTGTTTTTCATAAATCGGAGATACTATAAAACTCTTACACGTAATATTGGTTGCATAACTACGTTTACTGAGATACGATTCTTTCCTGGGGAAGATATCATTATGTTTTATTGTTTTGCGCTCATAACTCAAAAAGTGGAAAATTTGAGTTACTACATACAGTCTTCGTTGGACCAGTCGCACTGTGCCGACATGAGCGGCATCACTGCTCGCCGTAAGACCAACACTGCATTATAACTTTAGCTTCTACTATAGCGTCTACTAGATATAAATTATCACACAATTGTTCAAAAATGTTTAATATTTTTAAAAATAATATCTGCTATATCAAGTACTGATAGCACTACATTAGTTTTTTTTGTTGTAGTAACAGCAAGTATGTAACAACTTCCACACGATCGTCAGTAATGAGTATACCAAAGCAAGAATCAATTATACTAGCAACAATTAAAGATCAAAATAAAACGTTAGATTTATCGACTTCAACCAAAATTCCCATAATAAGGCAAAATGAAATCACAACTCCAGAGAGCACTACTCGTACAGAAACCGCTAACACAGAACCTGTCATAGATTTAGAGTGTCCAGAATTATCCACCATACCCAACTTACATAAATATACACAAGAGGAACTTATTTTACTATTAACTGATGGCTGTCGATATGATAGACTTATAAAGCCACCTGAAGAACAAATAGAAGTATTTTTCCGAATGGATATAACTCACATTGAGTCAGCAGATCATTTGGTAAGTTCTATCGCCTAGCTATAATAAATATATCACGATTATACCCTTTATATTAGTTAGTTTTTAACTCTTTAACGTCCGAATTTATAAAAAAATGCAAAAAAAATTAAATTTACTTTACTTTAACGTTATTGAAAATGGCCAAATCAAGAAGTTGTAGTAATGAAACATTAATAAAAATGTTATTTGGATATTTTAGAGGGATTGATTCAAATTTCAAATATTGTTCTTAAACTTTGAATCTATTTATCAAAATACATACTGCTTTTATTTTTGAATAGTGCTATTTAGTTTTAGCTCTGTTCATTATTCTGTATGAAATTGTTTAAATCAATTTGAATGTTTTCTCTATAATTTGGTTTCTTGTATTTTTGTCTTGCATCCTTCTTGCGAATGAAGTAGTGAAGTTGGATCCCTCTTCTTCTTTTTTCATAATTGTTTTGTAACGATCCAGTAGATGGTCGACCTCTTTTGCGAATACTTATATCTTATCTCTCCGAACACAACTATATATTTATATTTTAACCTGATATTTTAGTGCGTGCAAAATTTGAGTAGATCTATTTGTTGCCTCTTTTCCACCCCAAAGAATTACAGTCCCGACGGTATATGAGCCAAGCATTGACAATAGCAAAATCTAGAAAGTGGAAAATTAATTGATGGTACCAATTTCTAGACCGAATCTCGATTTTGTAGTGAGCAATTAGGCTGTCCAATATGTCTACTCCTCCCATAAAAAAATTATAAACTTGTATCATTTTTGGGTAGTACATTTTTGAACATAAGCTTTTGATTTTCAGTCTCATCTTTGTATGATAGATGTAGGCTTAGCATAGAAGAAATGCTAGCTAATGTAATACCCCTATTATCAAACTACTTTAAAGCTCGTATATTAGTATTTTTTATGGTATTTTCTGTTTGTTCGTAGCTTCCTCGGCCTCTTTTCTTCAACATGGCATCAGTTGGAAATTCCAAACCAGGAAATCTACTAAAAAATTCTTGTTTTGAACATAAGCTTTTTATTTTCGGTCCCATCTCTTTATGATAAATATAGGCTTAGAATAAGTGAAATGCTAGCTAATGTTATACCCATATTATCAAACCACTTTAAAGCTCGTATATTAGTATTTTCTATGGTATGTTTTGTTTGCTCGTAGCTTCCTCGGCCTCTTTTCTTCAACATGGCATCAGTTGGAAATTCTAAACCAGAAAATCTACTTAAAAATCCTTGTTTTGAAAGCTTTACTAGAGGTTTTAGAGACGAAAACCAATTATCAAAATAAAATATGTGATTTACATTTTTTCGTTAGATCTGTACTAATCTCAAAATAATTTAAACTAGGTCCTAAGTCTACAAGATATCTATGTTTCTCTCTCAATTTTACCATTATTAGGATCAACAAGTAGTCAAAAGAAACCAACAACACACACACAAGTAGTCACTTATGTCCAATATTGCTTAAAGTTCTGGATGATCTTGATTTGGAATTACTTGGTAAGCTTGGTTTGGAATTTCATTTTTATCGCTGGTATTGTCTACTTCCTTTTCAGAACTTCATACTTCCTGCTTCAATATTTGTGATCGCGGTGGTTGATAATTTTCATCATTACCATCACTAAGACACCTGTCTTCACTGTCTTCTGGTATCGCTCGTGCTTTTTCAATACATTAACCACTTATTACTAATCAACTCAAGAATAGTCTAAGAATCTACTTTAGAGTATAACCCCAAATAAAATAAATGGCTTGCGCAAGCGTGGCTAACTTACGGTTAAAAATATACCGAATTCGCTGCAATCGTCAACAGATTTAACTTATTTAAAAATTAAAATACGGTTTATATTAAATTATCCTCACTCGGCGTTAAGGGGTTAAATAATATGTTTGGTCTTTTGCTATTCCTGAAGATTTCTTTAATATCTCATTAATTATTAGAAAATCTTGACCTCCTTTATTTATCTTGACGTTCATGGAATATATCGACAACAAAATAGTTTTGTTGTCGCTTTCTTAAGGGCTTTGAACCAGTTTTCTAAAGGGTGTAACTTTCTACACTTTCTCTTCACATCTACACATATAATAAAATAATTACATTAGCAAGGAAATACTCTCCGCATAACATTCCTCGCTCGAAAAACACGTATACAATTTAGGAACTTTCTTGTGAGAATTCAAATTAGATTGCTTTTTATCCTTGTTTGGTGAACGTCTCATTTATGATCAAAGTGTTAACATTTTGCTTATTAGTACCAAAGTTAAAATAAACTGCTTACTGAAGAGATACAAAGTTTAGTATAAACGTCTCATCTTCTTCTTCTCGTGCCACTCCTAGCGGAGATTGGAAATCATCATGGCCACTGCGACTTTGTTAGCAGCGCGCCTAAAAAGTTCAATCGAACTACACCCGAACCATTCACGTAGATTACGAAGCCACGATATTTTTCTTCTTCCCACACTTCTTTTGCCCTTAATTTTGCCCTGCATGATGTTTCTTAAAAGTTCGTACTTTTCACCTCTCACAATGTGCCCCAAGTATTCCATCTTTCTAGTTTTTATCTCATTTAGAATTTAGCATCTTTTGTCTAAAGTTTGGAGTACTTGCGTGTTAGTGACGCGGTCCATTTATGATATTCTGAGAATGCGCCTATAGCACCAATTCTCGAAAGCTTCGATGTTTTTTATAGTCAACTGTTTTAGTGTCCAAGCCTCAACTCCATATAACAGGGTAGAAAAGACATAACACCGCAGCATTCGTATTCATAACTTTATATTGATATCACGATTGCAAAAGAGTTTGCGCATTCTATTAAAAACTGATCTAGCGATTTCTATTCTAGGTACATCTAATCTTTTTTGTTTGATCAGTATCGTCTGTGATCCAAGCACCTAGATATTTATAACAGGGCACACGCTCAATCGTTGTATTGTCTATTACAAGATTAGCTCTGATGTTCTTTGATTTCGTGATTACCATAAATTTAGTTTTTTTTCAAATTAATTTTCAAGCCGTAACTGTTACAGTATATATTGAGACTTTGAACGAGATGTTGTAGCTCTACTAGCGTTCCCGTTAGGAGAACTGTACCGTCAGCATACCTTATATTGTTGATCGTCTCACCATTTATTATTAGACCAAGATCTTCTTCCTTGAGTGCTTGCAACGTCTCATGGCAAAATATAATTCCTTTCTTTTGTTTCTCAAATCTCAAATAGTAATTTTGGTGGTCTTATTCTTATTTTAAGGATACACGTTAAGATAAAATTATACAGTCATAAATTCATTGCTAAAACAAATAACGTCTTTCCATTGCATAGAGTGTCCATTTTGTGTCTAATTTATATCAGGCCTAATTCAACACACCTATAACGTATGTCCAAAGTTTTGGCACAAAATATTTATCGTTTTTTTTTTGTTAACGAAGAAATTTATTTAAACACTAGTTACCATAAATTATAATTCAATACTTAACTAAACTATACTAATGAATTATGTTGAGTGGCCCATTCTACACTACCATACGCAAATGTCTTCTAATAACCCTCATGAGGTCCTGGACAGAAGTCGGATCATTTTCTCGTAGAGTTTTTCGTAAAATAAAAGTCTTAATTGTTCTTCATCTTAGGCTTACTAACCTCCATGATAAATATTCCTAGACAGTAATGCGTAAAAATCCTCTATTAGGTGATCCGGCGACGAAGTTTGGAGGACTGTAGTTTTTGCGAACATAAGATATGTCAAAGCCAATTTTGGGTATCTTTTGAGTAATGGCATGATGCTAGGTCTGGCCAAAACATAATATCTTCATTAGCATAATGTTTGGGGGCAAACTGAAGCAATTTGAGAAGAAAGTTATAAATATAGCTCTTACTCTTCAAATATTCACCCCTCATTCTTCCCACAAAAGTTCGTAGTACATTCTTGTTAAAAATTGTGCACCATACAAGGATTTCATTTGCAAATTTCGCTTTACGTTCTAATATTGTCAGGACATTTACCTCCGTCGTCAGTATAAAATCAATCGTTTCTTTTCATTTTAGAATTTCTCAAAATTAAATACTTTTCGTCAGTGTGCCCGTCTCAGTTAACGACAGCATCTTGGTGTACAAAGGAGTTTAGGAGTATTTTACTTACGTTTTTTTTTTATTTAAGACCATTTGTCCCTAATTCCCATAATATCTTACTCTTAGAAGATCTGCGTTGATAAACCAGATAATTTCTCTGACCTCTATGCAATAAATTCACGAGCTCTTCTACTTTTTGTGAGATTCAAATATAGTATTCCCTGCTCCCGCTGCTTTATTGTTTTATAAATGCTTCTGCGCTTTTCTTATTTTTAATTTATATGAAAATTTCAAAATAAATAAATCTCAACTCAAAGTAACCAAAGTAAACAAACTTTTGTTTCTAATGGCAACTTGATATTGTTTTGTTTTTCTTCGAATTAAAGTCAATGAAATATGTGCTAAAACTGTTAGGTTACGTTTTTTTTTACATTTTACTCACTTTAAAATCGAAGGAAAGGCTGAAAGCACGGATCGAAGATAGGATTCCATTAGCCAAAAGGAAGAGACCAAGAAGTCTCTACTTCACAAATTGATATTTTTTTTACTTTAAAGTATTCTTTTTTACTTTATTAAAATATCACACGACTTTAAGCGATTTTGTTATGTGTAAAGGAATTTAAAAATTATAATGTTAATCATGGGGTAGCGGGTAGGAACTCTTTAAACTCTTGAAGATAGTCCTATCAGGGAAAATGAATCAATCCCTGCCCTCCGCAGTTTCCGGGGTTTCCTGACCCGGGAAACTAGTACCTGTTTAGGGTCCCTTGTCCAGGGTTACGGATGAAGTCCACAACGGCAAACACGGCGGAGAAGCGGAGCTTCGGTACGGTGTGGATGGCGGAAGTGGCAACCCTCGATTTTAGGGTTGATATAGAACTCCTTTTATTGGCCAACGGTTGCGGGCGGACGAGCTAGTAAGAGACAAGGGCACTCT